TTCTGTTGTCACATGACTTGCTTTTCTGTAAGCTGGCCTGAAATGTTCCACTACTGAAATGGAACGATAGGGGTCCATTATAGTTGGAATACTAGACCCTTGAGAAGAGATGCACACACTGATAATAAATATATATGCTTTTTTGTTTTAGTTGTAGTAAAATTGTAGTAATCTACACTGGACTTGCATACATTCCATCTTCTTGAGTCTACCTGTGTAAACTGAGGCATAATTACTCAGAAGGAAGAGCAACCACAAATGGGCTGCAGCATCCTTACCTAATCTCCAATGTGTGTGACCAGTCTGCAAAATGGCCTTTATGCCTTTGCCCAATTTCTTTATCCATTCCTTGTATTTTATCCCATCCTCAATTGGGTCTCAGCTCTGACCTGGCCAATAGGGGTGAGATCAAATATTCTCACCTGTGATATGCTATTTCTCTTCACCAGAGGTCAGATTTGATTTCTAGTGTCCGCCTGTATCCAGTATCGAAGGAACCTCTTGAAATGGGTGGCCAGATCCATCGCACATGGCTGTGTGCCACGGCAGCCCTCTCAGATTATTTCCCTTGGGATCTCAAATCTGCCAGGACCGGACAGCAGTTTAATCCTTGATTGTGTTCCATCAGACCCTGATTCATGACCCTCACTTCTCACTCTCCCCTCAGCTATGCCTTATTTCGTTTTCTTCTATTCCAATTAGTACCAATTCCAGCAGAGTCACAAGTGTACCTCTTTCATTGTTGGTCAGAGTTCCTGGCAAACTGTTCTAGGAATCCTTGGCATTTTAACAATGACACCACTGATCTTCTTGTGACTAGTGGGTAAACCAGGCCTATTCATGAGTTCGAAAGTCTCTGTCTCTGGGTCACTTAATTTTAATTGTTCAGTTATTTCATCTCAATCATTTTTCTCACTTGTTGTTTAAAGCCAGTTACCATTGAGTCAACTGTGACTCATGGTGACCCCATGTGTGTCAGAGTTGAATTGTGCCCCCACTGGATTTTCACTATCTGATTTTCCGGAAGTAGATCATCGGGGCTTTCTTCCAAGCCACCTCTGGATGGACTCAAACCTCCAGCCTTTCTGTTAGGAGCCTAGCAAGTTAACCGTTAGCACCACCCAGGGACTCCTGCTTAGTCACTTTCAGATTTGGTGCCCTGCCTATTCCTGGGCTGTTTCTTCAATCCCTGGACCTAACACCTTCTTGTTTGCTCATTTCTCCCACTTTGGCACCGAAGTCCCTTGCCAGATGGGCCCCTTGCCAGTTAGTTCCTCGTTCAGTGCCCTTAGACCTCCTGGGCTCCTAACTGCCCTTGAATTCTTTCATTTTGCTCTGTGGCCTTCATAGCTGAAGATGTTACATTGCTTTTAGATGAAAAAAAGTTTTGCTGCTTTTTTTCACATTATTTCCTTATGACATATTTACATGGAACCTTGCTTTTTCTACTTATTCTGAGTAAACTGAGCATTCCTGGACCATATCTTGGTGGAAGATTTCTGTTAAATGGGGGTGGGAGTGGGCCATAGTAACCTTCCAGGTTTTACAATTCAAGGACCCATCCTTGATTGCTACTGCAGTGAACTTTACCATAAAATACACTATATTCATGGCTCCTCTGACTTTCAGAACCTAACCTGTTTCACCAGGGCTTCTTCCCCCTTGTTAGAATTCCTCTGCATTCCAGAAAGATCTCTCACTTTTAGGAGGTGGTGTTGTCTTCCAAGATTTGCCACCTTGCAATCCCCAGGACAATGTCTGCAGTGGCGTCACTGGGGTTGGTGTCACCCCATGCACTAACTCATGGCATCACACACCCCCGTACCAGACCATACAGAATACTTAATGTCTTTTGTACTAATGCTACTCGTAAATCGTAATTCCCCTATATCATTCCTTCTTTTCCTTTAATTAATACTTCATTCTCAAACATGTTATTGATATAGGTTCACAAATACTAATTACCACAATATTATAGCTAAAACATCAGAAAATTTGACAAAATCAGCGACTATAAGAACACCGGCTGGCAGCAACTGAAAACAGCAGTGCGTGCTTGCAGCGCAGGCAGAAGAAACCACGTGATTTGAGGCGTCATTGTAATTGAGTAATGCTGACAGCTCTGACCTGAGGGTATTAGCAGGTTCAAACAGTAAATTAGCATAGCGTTTTAGCCTTGTAGGTATATTGACACATCGAAGCTGGACTTCCAAAAAATGTTTTTGTTCTTACTAACCATAAATAACCTGTTGCGATGGAATCAATTCCGACTTATAGCTACCCTATAGAACAGAGTAGAATTGCCCCATAGCGTTTCCAAGGAACGGCTAGTGGATTCGAACTGCTGACTTTTTGGTTATTAGCCGAACTCTTAACCACTACCCGACCACGGCTCCATGTTATAACTAACTAGAAGGATATTTTTATGAAAAATAATAAATTTCTGCCGAAACACTGCACAAAATTTGTATAAACAGTCATTTTGGTGTCTCCCCCTCTGACAGTGTCACCCGAAGTGGTCCACGCCCCTGGCACAGTCCCCTAGTGACGCCACTGCACGTTTGCACTGTCTTTTTCTGCCTTCCCCAGCATCCGTGCTTCACTGTAGCTCAGAGGAACCTACAGCAGTTTCAACCCAGGCTGGCGCCTTCTCTTAGATTGTTCGCAGGCCATTTCTGAAATCTCTTGCCACTAAGTCCCTCCACATTCTCATGTAACCCAATGGCAACATTGTGGCTCCCTGTGCCCAGCTCTGCTAGCCTGAGTTGCTTTAAGCAGAAATGATGCATAATTTGGGGTATAACTGTCGTTTGTACTGTCTAGTTTTACCGAAAATAAAGTTCTTGTGTGTGTGTGTGTGTGTGTGTGTGTGTGTGTTTTCCTTTTATTTCCCATTCTCTTTGTTGTTCTGTATGGTTTTGGAGAAATGTCTTCCGAACTGAAATCCTTCCATGTTCCTGGCTTGCCTTTTTTAGTGTAATGCTAACAGTGGCATTTCAGTTCTTAGCTTTGAACCGCTGAGGAAAAAATACTCAGCAATATAAGAAGGGGAAAAAAATGTTCCCCTCTCCCCTGCCCCTGAAGTTGTGGAGAACCATAAACATATTTTCAACATAAAATTGTCTTTGTAAATGATATTTCTAACAAAGGTATTTTGTCAAACCCCCAGACTTCAAAGATTTTGAACAAGACCTGATAAAATAACCGGTTAAGAGCTTGGCTGCTAACTAATAGGTCAGACGTTTGAATCCACCAGCCACTCCTTGGAAACCCTATGGGGCAGTTCTACTCTGTCCTATAGGGTCGCTATGAGTCGGAATACACTCGACAGCAATGGGTTTGTTTTTTTGTTTTTGTTTTTTAACTTGTAAAATCTCTGCAGTTCTGAACTTTTCTTAATTTTGATCTTTCTTAATAACTTAGTACTCTGATGATAATGTTTGAGTTAATATCTCCAACTTCAGAAAGGTAAAATTACTTGTGAATTTTCTGTCAAACCAGAAGACAATAATTGGCATTTCCCTTTTTTTCATACATACATAGTATAAGATGACTTTACTGGACTCTTTAGTAAACAGTCTATTGGATGACTGAATCAAGCAGGGAACGCAGACTTAAGGGGGGGTGATTCCTTGCTGAGCCTAAGAATAAACCCACAAAACAAAAAGACAAGTAAGATGAGCCTGTTTGGGCTTCAGTGGGAGCCTGGGTGCCTCTACGATCTTTCCCTAGCTAGCTCAGAACTTTGTTGCTAAAGAATTATTTTACTGAAACTCAAGATCCATTAGAAAATAAGAAAATGATGGGGTTTTATTTTGTTGTTTTTTTATCTAAAGGCTTTTGCCAGCAGTAACTGGTAGTATGGATCCACGGAATATAGGCGGGGTTTCATCTGTGATGTGCTAGCAGTTGAACCAGAGCTATGATTCTCAAACTTGAGTGCATCAGAATCACCTGAAGTGTTTGTTAAAATGCAAATTCCTGGGCCCCCTTCCTTCAGAGTTTCTGATTCAGTAAGTCTAGGTCAGGACCTGAGAAGTTGCATTTCTAACGAGTTCCTGGGTTATGCTGAAACTGCTGGTCCAGGGACCACATTTTGAGAACCACTGGAGTAGAAGAAGAGCTATTATAATTCTATCACATTAGAATTAGTTTTCCTAAACTGACCAAATTATAATTTTATCGGATTCAGGCTGAGTGATTCTTCGTGAGAAATAAGGCTGAGATACAGCATATTCCCAACCTACTGTAGACACAGTGCAGAACACAGAGGTTCCAATAGGCTGTTTTTCCACAACCTACCACTCTACGATTTAAAAAAAAAAAAAAGACCCATAGGGAAGTTCTGTGTGTGTGTTTATCTTTTGTTGTTGTTGTTAGGTGTCCTCAAGTCGATTCTGACTCATAGTGACCCCATATAACAGACTAGAACTGCCCCATAGGTTTCTTCAGGCTGTAATCTTTATGGGGGAGCCCTAGTGGCGCAGTGGTTAAAAGCTCAGGCTGCTAAACAAAAGGTTGGCAGTTCCAACCCACCAGCCACTCCTTGGAACCCTCTTTGGGCAGTTCTACTCTGTATGAGTTGGAATCAAATCTACTTGACTTGGCGACAGTTTTGTTTTTTGTTTTTTGTTTTTAATCTTTACTGGAGAAGATCACCAGGTCTTTTCTCCTGGGAAGCTGCTGGGTGGTTTCAAACCACCAACTTTTCGGTTAATCAAAAGTGCTACTATATAATCCTCAGCTTGTCCGGATGTTGATGACGTCTCCTTTGACTGGAGTGTGAGATTTATTTTTCCCATGTGAAAGCACATGGGAACTGCTGGTTTGGCATTTTTATATCTGTATTCATGAGAGATATCGACTTACATTTTTCTTTCTTGTAGAGTCTCAAGTTTTAGTATAAAGATTATACTAGCCTCATAAAATGAGTAGGGAATATATTGTCTTTTTATATTCTGAAAGAATTTCTTTAAGACTGGAATTTTTTTTTCCTTAAGGGTTTGAAAGAACTTGTTGGTGTAGCAATCTGGACCTGAAGTTTCTTTTGTGGGAAGATATTCAACAATCAATTCTTCTGCCAATGGTTATTAAAATAGAGGATTCACTGTAATTGAAAAATGACGTGTTGATCTTCGTCTGGTGCTTTCAACCAGCAGCTATTTTCAGAAAGAAAGAGCAAAACCCCTTTCCATCATCTACCATTTCCTAAAGGAAAGTCACTCTTTGGCCTGGGGCCTCCTGAGGGAGAATTTACTTAGAGATGAGTCTAAGAGAGGGAGCAGGGCTCAGAGGCAGAAGACTTCAGGTTACTTTGGGGACAGGAACATCAGGGAGTTCAGTTCAAGGAGAAGAATTTGGCAAGTTTAGAACAGCGTTTTTCAGACTTTTTTTGTTATCCACAGTAATAAAAATTTTATATATATATATATGAGGGAGAATTTCCTTAGAGATTATATATGGAGCCCTGGTGGTGCAGTGGTTAAGAGCTACAGTGAGCTATGGCTGTTAACCAAAAGGTTGGCAGTTCAAATCTACCAACTGCCCCTTGGAAACCTTGTGGGGCAGTTCTCCTCCCTCTTGTAGGGTTGCTATGAGTCAGAATCAGTTTTGTTTTGGTATATATATATACATATATATATATCACTATAAAATTATATAATTATATATTTCATATGTATATAATCACTATATATGTATATGTATAAAATCAGTGATCAGTACACAATAGTATGTAAATATACGACATATATTTAACTGAAAGAAAAGTTTTATGAAACTATAGTTACCCTCACTGTCTAAATTTTTTTTAATATCAGCCTAAATAGGTTCTGACCTGCAATTTGAAACCAGTGAGTTAGGAGAAGAGTAAATGTAGAACGTCTGAGGCTGGGGTCTGGGAAAGAATCCAGTGTATCCCTGGTCTGGCTTTCAGGGTCGTGGATAAGGTTTGGAAGTGGACTTTATACGACCAGTGCAGGGTCACAGAGTTTCACCTCCATGTGACCTGTGATTTCAGGTTATTCTGCCCAGGGACAGATGATGGTATCTCTTTTCCACCTGCCAGTGGAGAAACTTCCAGAGTTAATCAAGATGCGAGGATTCCGTGGGTGGTGCAGTTAACATGTTTGGCTACTAACCCAAAGGTTAGAGGCTTGAGTCCACCCAAAGGCGCCTCTGAAGAAAAGCCTGGTGGTAATTTACTTCTGAAAGATCAGCCATTGGAAACCACCTGGAGCACAATTCCTCTGGTCCCTCACTGTGGTCACTGAAGATTCGTATACATCAGGTCAGCTAAAGTGGACTTGGATTCTAAGTTCTCATTTTATGCTGTAGCATCCGGAGGACCCGGGGAACGCAACCAGAAACCCCCACCTGCTCCTTTCATGATCCTTGCCGCAGAGATGAGCGGGTGAGTGGAGTATAAGGTGAGAAGCCATCGGAGTTGAACGAGAGACGAAAAACTGCCCTTGAGAGGGAAAAGCTCTTGTTGAAACATTTTCTCCCCACTTCCCAGGCCACCTTTTCCCGCCTTTCCTCTCCCAGCTCTGCCCTCGACCTTTCTTCCTTTCCACATCCCGCCCTTTTCTTCCTCTTCGCCTGGTGGGGGAGCCTGATGAGTCCTTCCTTTCTCCTCCCCCCATCTTCGACACCGCCATCCTTCCCATAGATGAAAAATTTTCGTATAGCAGCCACTCCGGGGCTGTGAGGAGCGGGATGTTTAGAAGAACCAGAGTCCCGGAGAGGTGGGCGTCAGACCTGGGAGTCACAGCAGCGCCTCCCCAACTCTCATTCCTGGGGGAGTTCTCCGTTGCCGCGCCCCGGCCCGCCACGATGCGCCGCGTGGGCCGGAGGACAGAGGCTGTGAGCTGTGACTGAAAGAGGGAGAAACGGCGCTCGGGATCACAGCACTGGATTCAGGAACAGCGAGAGAACCTCGGGCTCAGCCCCCTACTTTAACGCGGGGGGAGGGAGGGAGGCAGAGGTGACAGAGG